GCCGAAGTCCAAGCGGGACCGCAAGGGTGAGCGCCCTGACCCTCGTCCCGCGTCCCCTCTCCATCCCCATCCCCGCCCTAACGCGCCCTCTCTGCTCCGCTCCCCGCAGTCTCCCTGACGCGGACGCCCAGGAAGGGGTTGGAGGCCAAGCAGACGCTCATCGCCGAGGTGAGTGCAGCCCCGCGCGGTGCCCCGCTCCCCGGTTCCCCCGCTCCCAGCTAACCGCTGCCTTGCAGCTGCGGCGATGCGTAGACACCTACAAGTACATCTTCGTCTTTTCCGTTGCCAACATGAGGAACAACAAGCTGAAGGACGTCCGGAACGCCTGGAAGCATAGCAGGTGAGCCGGGACGGCGGCGGGGGGAAAAGGGGGTGCAGCGCGGCCTGGGACCTGCCAGCCGCCGCCTTCTCCTCTTCCTCCCGCCGCCCCAGGATCTTCTTCGGGAAGAACAAAGTGATGATGGTGGCGCTGGGACGCGAGCCGAGCAGCGAGTACAAGGAGAATCTGCACAAGGTAGGGGCTGGGTTTTTTTCTGTGTATCCTAAAGTTTCACCTCGCTCATGGTGGCTGCATCATGGAATAAACATCAAGGGACAACAGAGTTTCTTTGGGTCACCTTTCTGCGCCCCAGGATCTTCTTCGGGAAGAACAAAGTGATGATGGTGGCGCTGGGACGCGAGCCGAGCAGCGAGTACAAGGAGAATCTGCACAAGGTAGGGGCTGGGTTTTTTTCTGTGTATCCTAAAGTTTCACCTCGCTCATGGTGGCTGCATCATGGAATAAACATCAAGGGACAACAGAGTTTCTTTGGGTCACCTTTCTGCAGGTGTTTTAATTGAATCTGTCCGTACCATGACTCCAAAGCTCTGTTGTTAGTGGAGCCTTTGTAGATGTATAGGACTGAACCCTAGAAGGTAAGTCCCTGGGTGCTGCCCAAGTCCCACAGACAGCCTCTTTCTTTCAGGTCAGCAAACACCTGAGAGGTGAAGTTGGTCTTCTCTTCACAAACCGCACCAAAGATGAGGTGGACGAGTAAGTATGCTCATGTCACAGCTGTGATTTTGAAATGCTGAGCAGTCTTTTTTCTCTTGGCTACTTCACTTGCTGATGTTTCTCTTAAAGCAGCGATGATCTCATGAGGCTTTTCTGCTCCTTTTTCTCTGCCATCCCTGCAACAGAAGTTACAGCAGGCTACGCTGTAATCCCCGTCTTAGCCAAGGGATGTTCCTTCCACAGCAAAAGCTCGTTATGCGTCTCTGTCTCAGGTGGTTCTCCAAATTCAAAGAGGTGGACTTTGCCCGCGCAGGGAACAAGGCGACGTACGCGGTGAGCCTGGACACAGGGCCCTTGGAGCAGTTTCCCCACTCCATGGAGCCTCAGTTACGGCAGCTGGGATTGCCAACTGCGTTAAAGAAAGGTATGTGAAGCGGCTGAGAAGGTAAGCTTTGCTTTTTGTCTGCACAGATAAGGTCTTGTAAGGAGAATGTTAAATAATAGAGTAGAATTTAGTTTTGGAGAAAATCTGATTGACGATTTTCTCCTTGTTTGGCCCGTGCTAGAACTCATTATGTTCTTGCACCATTCTTCCCAAACTGATGTCAAAGGGCGAGTGAAACAACCAGCTTTCTACAAAATACCGTCCTTTTTCAGTGGAAACAACTAGGCCTCGCCTAACCTAGCGCATTGGCATCCCATTCAGAAACCAGGGGGGGTTTAAAGTTGATCTCACCTAGCTTCTTGAGGTGTACTGATACTTGTATGGAAAGGCATAAGCTGCAAAGGGCAGTGTTTGAGAGTCTTGGCTCCGCACCCCGCGTTTCAATGGCTTATCCAGTATTTGTGAGTCTATTTCAAGAACTTTTGTTCCTGCAGGAGTGGTGACGCTGCTTTCAGATTACGAAGTCTGCAAAGAAGGGGACGTTCTCACGCCTGAACAAGCACGCATCCTGGTGAGTAAGGTTGTAACGCAGCGTCTGTGCGAGCATTTGTTTCCCCTAATAAATAATTAACTGTTCAGTTTAATTCCGCTGGAGGGTGCGAGTTCTCAGACGAAGGTGAGCAGCACTTCTGGGTGTCAGTTAGTGGGGTGCAGCAAACATCCTCACATGTTCCTAATGGGAGAGCTAAAACTGCAGCAATTATTTTGGCTTCTGCTTTTCCGCACTTCCAATCTGGAAGCAATATTTACTGTAAGGGTTTTTGCTGGGCTGGCCA